TAGTTGTCGGCTCACACTTCAGTGAGCCCAATGAGTTTTTATCGTCAGTAACATAGAAACGCACCAAATACATTTGGTCAAGAAAACATTGTCTTCTGCCGACGAAAGGTCAGGAGAGTAAAACGGAGAATTATTCGCACAATCCAACAGTTCACGTTGTAAGAAGATCCTTTCCCGGTATTTGGTGGGGCCAATTTACGAATTCCCTCCAACGGATTATTCATTTGGAATGGAAGCCAATCCACATTAAAGTATCAAGAGCTTAATGTGATTTAATGACTGTTGGTCGAGTTTTGCCAAAATAACACGAGTATGCCTACCAATATCATTACAATTCACAATTCCTTCATTCTCATCTGTGTCTCATCGGCACCTGATAATAATGATGATGATGATGAGGAGGATGATTATGATGATAGCAATGAGGTTCGAGGTCGGAGCTGTAGTCCATTCGAGATGAAATCACCGTAGGCGACCTGGGCTTGCTGAATTCTTACTCAATAATTATTGTTAGTCTTGAAAACTACTTATGCAGGAATTAAGTAGTGTAGTTATATGTAACAAGGTTATTATATTAACACAACTATGAGCCTCTAAATCACCTTAAGCTAGCTTATGTAAAAATTGCTGAATTCTAAAATCAACTTTTATTAATATTTATATTTTATGGCCATGCCTATGGATTGCGCAAGCCGCCCTCTTGAAAAATCGCAAAGCCGGACCCGGCGTGTGTTTATCTTATCTCGGGCTGGAAGCGGAAACGTCAGATTAAGGGGTCTCGGCCACTTCGGCTTGTCGCTTCTCCGTGAAGAGGCTCCAATTGACGGCCCGGGCCCAGCGCCGGCATGTGTTCCGCAGACCGGACGACCCTCCGGCCAGCTCCTTTGATCTCGTCTGTACTTCTCTTCACGCACTATTTCACCGGCTGTTTGTTTGCCAGCATTGGCTTCTTCTCTTTTGTTCCACAGCCCTCGATCTCTCGCCTACACACCTACCATCACAC